GCCCAACCAGCAGAGTAGTTCGTTTTTGAACGCAATTACGTGCACGAAGGGTCTCGCTCTATCTACTTGAGTCTACTTCTATTTTTCGTGAAATATTTTACTGTCAATACCCGAGCGAGATCTGCAATTATTTTGTCTTCTTATAGAAAGTGTCAGGCTTATACAGGAAATGTTTTCAGTGTCATGAGCAGCGGGGTGTGAGCTCACAGATTGCACTGACGTCAATGCATCGTGTTCTGTCGCTCATCAACACCTATTTGAAATTATAGTACCCATTAAAGGTACCACGAGATGGTTTTCAAATGCCTTTTAAAAGCCGCGACAACGTTATTCGCACTAAATTATATTTCAAGGTCAAATCAAGGACGAAGCATTGGACTGGGAACGGAGACACTGCAGGGCATGTTGGATAAAGTAGGCTTATTTAATTTTTGAAGATAAGCAGAATGCAGAAAATCTTAAAATATTTCAGCTACCCCGAATACCGTTTTGGCTGCCCGCGTAAACTCCATCCTATAAAAAGAATAATTTAATTGTAGTGGATTTTCCCATTTATTTTCGTACCCTGATAAATTCAAAAAACGTTTTGCAGAAAAAGGTACTAAGATGCACCTTCATCTTTTTTATTTTATACTTGAAGAGAAAATCATATTAGGGGTTTGGCAGATTTCAATCATTTCAATTGACCCAATGGTGAAAAACACGTGTCCTCGGCGGGAGTCGAACCCACACAGGAAGCAAGGATTTTGCGCAGCCAAAGCTCTACCATTGAGCTACGAGGCTCACCGTGAGCAGTGAATTTAATCACATTTGGGCCGATTCGCTTGCCCAAACCTACTGCTTGTATGGAATTAACAGGTGTGGTTACAGTAAACTGCTGCTAGTGGATTCCATACGATCAGTAGGTTGGATAAGCAAATTGACCAAAGTGTGATTAAATTCAAGGCCCATGGTGAGCCTCCTAGCTCAGTGGTAGAGCGTTGGCTGCACAGAAGCATCTTCTGCTGCGTGGGTTCGATCTCCACTGGGGGCGCGAGTTTTGTACAATTGGGTCAAATGACAAAAGAATATTTTTCGGCTTTTAAAAATCATTCATTGGGGGAATAATTCTTAGCTTGACCTTCAGTTACACGTTCGCTCAGATTTTCCTAACTATGCGCCTTGTTAGGAAAATTATATACTTCTCATTTCTATTACGACGATATCATAAGGCGTTCATAGTATTCAACAATGAATGTGAACCATGTTGTATATTTTATAATGCACATTACTGAAAGGACAGATACAAGGCCTTTTGAAGAGGTTTCAGTAAATCTTATAAAATCTCAAAAACACAAACTGACATAACACTGAAAGATATTCCTACATGTAGCATGAAGTATACGGTGAGCAATGCAGTACCTGCATATGACTGCTCAGATATCCCCACCAGCTATGGAGATCTAGTATGGGTCACAATTTTGTTTAGCGGACAGTGACTAGGGTCAGTTGGAGTCACTTACGGGATTGCCGGTCGTCTTCTCCGTAGAACATTTTTAAGGTGAGGAAGGGGACAAGATTGGATGCGAGGCGGACGCAGAAGCAGACATATTGGTCTGGGTTCACATACATCATGGGATAGCCTCATTTGGGTTAGCCCGCTGGTCAGGGCGGTTACCAAATTTCGGCCGCTAGCTAGACCCTAGCTTCGAGGAGCCACAGGTTAAAGTTTGGTGTCAGTTGAGGGCCGTTTGACCTTGACGCCACCTGCACGAGGAAAAGGATGCAACCTACTACTACCTTCACGGGAGTCCCTAACTGAACACCTGTACACCCCGCTAGCCGTACACAGCTATATGAGTGCCCCACTTTTCACCCCCTTCGGACGCAATTCTCACCGAAGTTTTCTTGGGACCTCTTTCCCGGCCTAATTACAGTTCGTGTCGATTATTTCGAAAAACCACCACAGTTCACGGAATTTAGTGATAATATTTTACTTTTAGCATAGCTCCTGACCCCAGATGTGAAGTTAGGGGACCGCAGGGACGGTTCGAAAAGAGTTCTTCAATCAATCTATCGATCAGGAAACTTGATGTTTCGGACTTCCCTCGAAGGCGAAGAAAAGATCCATCTTCTTATAAAAGATCTCACTCCAATCACTTCTTGTCTGAAGGTGTGGAGTAGAAAACTCCAGTGTCATTTTTAAATAAATTTCTCATATAACGGTGGTCGTTTTATCAGATAAACCGCTTCAGCAAAATGCTCTGATCAGCCATACGCTCTACTTCGCATAGCAAACCGTCAGCTTACGAGAGCCCCTTTCATATTTCGAAAATGTTGCTGGGTTTGATTTTCCAAACTTTGACATACCGGTCGGTTTATCCGACCGGAGAGAGTAAAAACAGGTTCATAATTGAACCATATTATTTTTGAGAGCTGAGGGTCGTTTCGTTTAGAGTGGATGAGTAATACAAACATATATACATGCATACCCACACAAGTCTACTGTTTCAAGAAACTGAAGTCGGCACGAAAATCGCCTTTTCACTGTCGGAAGCATCAACTGAATCAAGCTTTATTGACGCAGAGTTCCCCTGCAGCCGCCTACGGATGCAATTTCCCTGGCCTTGCGTGAACGTCCGTTCTAAGATTTCAATGTTTTCATTATCAGTCGTGGTAGCATCTGGCCTTCCGCTGCGCGACTTGTCAAGAAGAGATCCTGTTTCAAAAATGTGCCTTGTCTGAAGAACGTCATGTCGGTACGGGTAGAGCTTCACCCTTCCCCGAAGCATCCACCCCAATTATTGTTTATTGATGCCGAGTTCCAGTGCGGCTGCCTGGACGGACTCTATACAATTTTGCGCCAACGCCTGCGCCAAGATTTCGACGCTTTCATTGAATATGGTGGCGGTAGCAGGCCGTTCGCCGTGTAGCTCGTCAAGAACAGATACCGTTTTTAAAAGGATGTCATGGATAACGACAATTTTGCTGCGTGCTGCAGCACTCACGGTCATTTAGCTTCCCACACTGACAGTGAACTGCAGTCGGGAAGTGAAAAACATTCGCCCAGTCGGCAGGTTTTTAACGCTACTCCTGCGTCAATTGGCAGCCTAGGTGCAGGGAATGATGTGCCTACAAAAACATGCGAACTCGAATGCTGATATTTTCGCATCGAAAAAGAATTAGCACGAAGAAAGTGAATTGTGGCTTCTAGAATAATCAGTGGATATAAAATTTGGTGTAGCTTCGCAAAAATGATTTTTAAAAGTCGGATATGAAAATCTTGGGCACTATCGCTGTAGGACTACAAAAAGATAAGAATCTATGGAATGTATTATGTCCTGAGGTAATTCTTTCAATAGATTGTTAATGTTACTGTGCTGCATGCGAGGACTCGCTAAGAAACATCTGACACTTACGTAATTGAGCCATTATTTTCCCGGAAGAAATTCAAACAAAGCCGAGGCAACGAGACTAGCAGGATTGAAGGACGTCATATAGTTTGGTGACTCCTTATTCAATTGTATACGGTTTTTGGCTTCTAATAAGAAAAGATAAAGTGTAAAGTTGAGCGTGGATCTGGAAGGCTGCAACTTGATAGAGAAAATACGCATGAGCTCTTTTCTTCTAAGATGTGGCTGTACATGGCGAGGGGAAGGGGAAGATGTGGATAGTTATCGAAGCGAGGCAGTCTGCATTACAAGGAAAACCCGTCAAGCGTGATTAAAAAGGGGGGGGGGAAAGGGGCAAAGGACAGGACAGCATTTGGCCATGCGGGTAAGGGAGGGAGCGGGAGACTACGGAAGAGGAAGCGGGTCTACGTCCCTTTTTGACCCTCACCACGCCGATGCGAGGTTGATCACGTGATCCAGTTGCCCACAGATTTGTTTATCTTCTATACTAGGCACTGGTCTCTGCGGTTGAATAATGGATAATGAAATTCATTTCTGCGAATCTTATAGCCTTTGGCCCGTTTAAGTAACGTAATTTCCGCCGAGGTTCAGCCGCTAGGCGGAACTTAGCTCCGAGGAGCCAAATAAGAGAGTTAAATGTTAGGTGAGTGTCATAAGGCGTAGCCACCACGTG